ACCAAAACAAATGTACTTGACGGCGAACTTTTTCATTCACTTTCACTACGGAATTTTTAACTATTCCAACCAAATTCTTTCACATCTAGTTTCAACTAGTGCTTATATTCAGCACTTGGAATTTTTAGCTTCAATCGAATTTTATGTTATATTTTCAGCAATTTTTTTTTCTACACTTCATTGATGTCTTTCAAACTGTATGTGATGAAATGTTACTGTAATCTGCCGTTGTCAAAGTCAAATACATTCACGCATGTGTCGTGTTCACTCACGCAAACCATTCTAGTACTGTACAATAGCGGCTCTACTGCTTTGTTCCGATTATAGCTGAATCGAAAATATGGAAAATATGCGAAGCACTTTTTTTCGTTTTGCCTCTGCCTTCTGTTCTCCGTTTGCCACTCAGGAAAAAATATGATTGACTTGATAATTTTCGTTCTATTTGATGCACTTGGCTGTTGAAACTGTTGAAGCTTTGCATCTTGATTGCAAGATATAGGAAGAAAATTTCCAGGTCACGATTTGCTGTTGGCTAAATAACAGAAAACAGCGAAGAATAAAAACAAAACAAAACTCGAAAGCGATTGAATTGTCGCGAGCGAATAAAATTTGCAATGTAGATTTGTGTGTCATCGTGTTCCTTTTGGCATTCAGTACATTTCTTCAAGCGATACTCGCTTGTTGCCTCCGTCCTTGTCGTCGTCGCATCTGTAATTGTGCGAGAGAATAATGTTGTGATAGGCGCTATGGCTGCTTGTCTCTGTGTTTTATTGTCATGAATGAATGAGAGACGATTAGGGAGAATTGGATTGGATGGTAAATATGTGAACACAGCACCGATACATGCTAGCTAGCTGGTGGGTTCAAGAGAAAGAGTGAGCGAGAAATGAAGATGAAAAAAATTGCGTACGCACTGGAAGGTTGTGCAATTTTCATCGAAAATTGATTTCATGCGCTTCAACACACTTTTTCGCATCCACCACCAAATCTCGATGTGGATAGTTTCAACAGTTTCGAGTAAACAGTCGTTGTTGAGAGTTGGCCAGTTGATCATAGTAGCATCACATCCATCAATTGTTGAACTCATTCTTTGCGAACCGTTTTGCGTTGAGTCTTTATCATAGTTTATAATATATATAATTGGAAAAACATTTTTGCCGAAATTGTTTTTTTCTCCTGCTGCGTTCAGTGCATCGGAAAATTTCCAAAGTGTTCAATCGACAAAAAGAACGAAACCATATTGTGTGCTCTTATTGTACTGTAAGCAGCGAACAAAAAGCCAATTTCAAAAGTAAAATCAAATATGGATCCACAAACATCGAGTCAACAGTCATATCAACAGGGTAGCGAAGAGTCATCGTGTGACGATATGGCTGAAATTGAACGCCGAAAGCTCTACTTTTTAGAGCGAATCGTCAAGGAGCAGGAGAAGACCAACACTCGTTTGCATTCGATCATTGAAGGTCAAAAACAAGAATTTAGAAATCATGACCGTATGATTGACCTATTGTATCGCATTGCATTCAACAAATAAATCCATTTTCAACAACAAATGAATGCATTTGCCACCATAATAAAACAGCAACAACAGAAAAAAAAGGTAAAAAAAATAAAAACTACCCGTCTGTTTGGATAAAGTTTTAATTGCGATGTTACCAAAACGTAACTGCAATTTAGTGTACAATCATCATGGATGCATTGTTCACTTGCAGAATCAGAAATACTTAGTCTTTCAACTATAACAACTACAACAACAACAACATCAAACAAAATCATTGCTGCTCTGTTTTCTGTGTACTATTACTGTGCTTCGTAATAATTGATGTTCGCTGTGTTGTTCATCCCGCAAACCACAACAAAAAGAAAGGAAAAAAAAATAGAAAAAAAGTATAGCAAAAAAAATGTCCATCCTATTCGAGCTGTCTACAAAGCTAAAATCTACCGTCGCTCACGCTTCAACAGTTCATCACGCACAACAACAACAACCACAACAACCATAGACTATACAAAGTAGAATAGAATATGAAAAAAAGTGTCTCAATTGCGTATCGCAACCACCGATATATATATATTAGTGTGAAGTTGCCGGAGCAACCAACCAGAGAAGAAAGAGTAAGGAAAAGAGAAATACTGAATGAAATTCAAACGTGAAATTTTCTTAATAGAGCTAAACAATCATCACCACAGCGCACACATTGTAGGCTGATTTTGATAAAGGACCGAATTACAAATTTTCCGTTGACCCGATAAAATATACATTCTGCGGAACGATAACAACATTGACAACAATGAATAAGGACTCGGCATGTATTTAAACATTGCAGTGACTTTCGGAAATATCGGGGAAAAAAGAGCAGAGGAAAAGAAGAAAGAACTCGAACTCTCTTTTTTTTACTGGTTCTAACTCTCACTCTTTTGGTCTGTTCACTCAACAAGCAGTGTCACGTCGCACAACAATGGCTCTTTGGCATGTTTTATATTGGAAATTTGATTAAGGTCTGCACTCCTCACTCACTTTCTCTCTCACACACTATCTATCTGTTTATCTGTTATCGGCAGTCATTCAGTGTGTTGTTTTGTGGTCGCTTGGTTGAAAAATGAGATGAAAATACCATAAAATTGAAATGTGTCGGTTGTTACACGCTGCAAATCTATTATCATTATATATTGTTAACAAATTTTCTCTATCTCTCTCTCTCTCTCTCTCTCTCTCGTTCTGAGTGTGTAACTGAATAATCGATTTTAATGTGACAACCTCCGCTAGAATATCAAGTTCAAAAACAATGACAGGCACACAAATACATCCACAACAAAACAAAACAAAAAACAAAGCCAACTTGTACGTGCACATTATTACGAAGAAGCTGAAAAGTGAATATGTGTCTCTCATGTATTTTCTATAGAGTCTATACGTTATACAGCAACCCAATGGAATAAGAGATTCGATTTATATACTCAATAACTGTTATAAACTGTACCATTTATCTGATATTGAAAACATATGCGATAACTGTTATTATATTGTGTCTCATTGAATTGATGGACGAACGAACGAACGAACGAACACACACACAACTAATTTGAAAGTCTGATTTATGCATTTTAATTCGATTGAAATTCAATGGTATTGGAATATTTTGTTTCAATTTTCCAAGTAATTAGTTAAATATCCATTGAATCGGATGGCTATAAACATTATTTATTGACACATATAGAATTTAGTTTAAGAAAATTACATTTAAAAAAGAAATTGACGCCGAATGAAATGTTTATTTTTTTTTCAAAATTACTCTTCAGTCATACGGCACAGTAGATATAGTAAATCAACGAGTGTAAAATGCACCAGCCAATCAATTCGGTATTTTCATCAAATTGACCAACATTCTTTTAACTTCCTGTTTACTCTTACAATTTCTAAAGGATTTCCAACCCGAATGTCCTTTTGCAAACATCCTTGACTAGAGCTATGGATTTTTTTTATACACAAACCGTTTTTTTTCTCCTGCATAATATTTCCTTTTCAAGTTTTACATTTTGCATAGGTATCTGAGCTAAGAGGAAAAACACGGGTAACCTCGTTTTTAGAAAAGAAAAAAAGTAGGACACAGGGCTAAGAAATGATAATGATTAAGTATCATTGATGTGTTTGCACTTTATTGTGATAGTCTATTCAAATATTCAACTAACTCTCGTTGTACGTTAGAGAAAAGAAAAAAAAAATCCAGTAAAAAAAAGTCTACAAATGAAAATTGATCAAGATAAAAAATAAATATAAAGAAAAATAATTCTATTCTGAATGCTAAGTTTGAATGTTACCATATGGATTATTGCAAAGAGAATTCACACAAATGATTTTCCAAATGCAACATTCTAAATCATTCACGCACAAAACCTAAATCAAAACTATAAACTTAACAAATTCCATATCTTGGTGAATTGACTCATCGTTGCTCATGCGAGTTTTCAACACATTTCAATCATTTTCACACAAAAAAATAAGACATTTTCTACCTAAATCTTTGAAACTAAATCAAATCTATTTTTCGAGAAAAAATGCTTCAACGCATGATTTTATAAAATGAATAAGAAGAAGAAGAAAAAAAAACCAAAATATATTATATAACGAAAATTTGAATGAATTTTAATAAATCTCACGAAGAAACTTCCGAGAATACCCACATATACCTATACAAACCCATACACACACAATACCTGTATTTTATCTGTGAATTTAAATAAAAAGATCATTTAAACTCTAGCACAATGTTTGTTTCTTTTGAAAATGAAGAACACTTCTACCCTTTAGGTTAAGTGTAATAATATGTAAATTTGTTTTTTTGCTGGATGAAAAGACTATGTGCTTCATCATTTGAATACGATTATTGTCCGATATATTCGTTCACTTGTACAGCACACTACCATACTGTCATCGTAACTCGTGTGTTCGCAGAAGGGAATTGAAGCTGCAAAGAGGTAATTTTTTATTCATAACGCACCTTGCATTGAACGATGATTAACAATCAATAGTCTCGAATTGCGGCTTGCAATTGCGGTTTTACGTGACCTAAATTATTATTATTATTCAAACTTTCTGTTTTTCTTTGCCTGAATAATCCGAATCATTGCTTTGGAATAGAATTTTTCATCGACTTCCCTTTTTATTGGATGCTGCAGTTGGCTTCAGATTAACGGTAAGAGACAGCTCGGATTAGATGAAAGTAGAAAATTAATATTCTATTACACGAATACCCTTTTGCTTATTTTACTTTCATCCAATTTTAGTTTGTTTTTTTTTCAACACATTTTCAATTCGGGTGCACTCAATCCGAACGATATAATAAATAACTTGACGTTGTCGCAACACACAACAAACGATGATAACAAAAGAAAGTTAACAAATTTTAACTGAATTTTACCATGATTCATGGCCCATGAGCTTCTTTCTTGGGAAATGCATTGAAACGTTAAAAATCGATTAAAATGTATTGAAACACTGAAAGTTGAGCTTATTTTGTATTGATTTTTAGTTTATTCTTTCAATTATATCTGTAGTGTACAAAATATATGCATAAAAATTAACAAAAACAAAATGGGTAATCTAAAAGATATATTTTATCAACATGTTGAATTGGTAATTCAGGAGGTAAATTGATTTGACGTAGTTTCGGTTTCAATTTATGCATAACAATTCAAAACTAAAAATTTATACGTGTTGAATGTCCGTATCAGGATGAGGAAGAATTTTGATTTCATTTTCAACGACAATTTGAATTCCATTCATTTTTGTCGTTTCACAGTGTTACCATTGTTAGTATGAAAAAATACCGCTAAACTAGAGCTTATAGGCAAATTTAATAAGCAAAAAAATCTAGATCGCAGAGCTTCACTTCGCTTAAACATTAAGAATATACAAACAAATTAAAGTCGAGAATATATATAAAAAATAAAACCCGTAATTAAATAATAATTGTAGGAGATTCATATCAAATATAAAGCTACCATAAATTGATTCCTATCGTCTTCAGCTGTACCGAACTGATGGTTCATCATCCATCTCGAAGTCAGTTAGAAGGTGCTTACTTTGTTCTTGATATCTCTGATAAGCATATTGCCGACGAAGTTTTCTCACTTTCATAATTACAATTGTCACAACTGTCAAAAGTACGAATAATACGCCCCATGTGGCCAGTGATGAGCTCTCGTCTGAAAAGAATTGGATGGATTTGAGTAAGTTTTGCTTGTAGTAAGTTTCTACAAACACCAACACAAGCAAAAAACACAACGTTAAGGGAAAAGTCTAGGGAAAAGTACTGTTTTTGTACAAATATTGTGAACAGTCTTGCATTCGCTTATAGGGTTAATTAAATCGCATCAAAACAATGGTGAACGGTTTATTGTGAGAGTTTTTGTTTATCTTATGATCTAAAAAAGCATGCAGTTTCATTGAAATATCTTTGTACTTAAAAAGCATTGAAATGCGAAAACACATAAAAAGCGAGCAAGTTAAAACGACAATAAGAATCTCATCTTTATTATTCATGCAATTTTGAGTAAATAAACGGTAGTGTTAGTCATTTGAAGCAATATGATTGAAACACATGCAGAAGGTCATTACAGTAATGCGCTTTTATTTAATTCATTTGATCACGAATGACGGCGCTTACCTTTCTGAGTGGCTCTAACGGGTTTACGGGCAAACAGATCGTCGTACATATCGAGTTTTTTCGCTCCATCCGTTTGGTGACATTGAATATTTAGAATGTAACAGAATAAGTTGTACAAATCAATCATATTGACAGATTTGAGTGTTTTGCCTTTGGCAAATAGTGGTCCTTTGGCCATAAAAATTGCATGCATATTTGGATCTTGATTGTCATACCCATGAACACCGTATTTGGTCTTGTTGGTTACTGAGAACAAAAGCCAAAATGATCAAAAAGTTCACCGTGGATTTAGATTGATTTCACTTACTCGAAATATTGTATTTTCTTTCATAAATTAGCGCATTTCCCCATAAATCCTGGAACCCGTATCCACTGTTGGCTACAGCAAGTATCGGTCCCATGCGTCGAGTATTATTTACATGCCATCGCACTGGAATATTCTTCTGATTGAAGACTTTAAAGTGGCCGTTCTGCTCGGCAGCCTTGGTTAACTTGGCAAAAATATCATCCTCTTTGGCTGAAATCAAAATGTAGAATTCATTTGAATGTGGAATTGTAATTCGTTGGAATTAGTATTCTTATTTTTTTCAATGGTTTATCTCCTTAAAGAAGAGAAATCAAATAAATTCGATGGAATCAGATTCAAAGTCAAATTAACAACAATTTTAGATATCAACGATTATTCCACCTAATTAGGAATTTCCATTTAGTTTTACTTTTAAAGTTCCTGTACATTTTCACTCACTTTTATCCTTTGGTACAATTTGTAGCACTGGCGATGTTCCGAATATTTCACAATTGTCGTTAGCTAAAGTCTCATTCAAATAAATGAAATTCGGTGGAGCTACGCCAATCATTCCGTGATCAGACACGTGAACTACGTTGACACGTTTGTCCAAGCCCGTTGCAGTCAACTTGTCTTGAATATATTGCGTGAGGTTATCTAGTCTCGCCACCATATTCGTTATCTGATTTTAAGAATCAAACAATGAAAATATGCAAAATGAAATGAAACAGTGTTTTAATTGTCATTGAAGTGAACATCGAGTGTTGATAGTGTCCTTGACATGGAGTGTGATTATCTCAAGATCTGATAAGAAAACTTACGTATGTGTCAATTCCTCACAACAACGTGACATTTAAAAATTAAAATAATTAAAAAAAAAAACGTTCGAACTTACCTCAGGTGAGTCGGGCCCGTAAATGTGCCCATGCGAGTCAGGCTCTTCAATGTACAACATAACGAGATTCGCTGGTGTTTTCTTGTCGTTAAACCATGACAAGGCGATGTCAACTCTATCCTCCCACTTCATTTCTTCATTGAATCCCACAGTGAACGTACAATTTATACCATCGTATTCGAAGTTACTACCAGTCCACATCATGCAGCCGGAATGTTTGCCAGATTTTTCATTTGCCGTCTAAAAGTACGACGCAAATATTTGCAAAAATGGAAAATGAATTAGAAATGGTCGTTTAAAATGGCATAAATTGAGTGGAATTACCCAAAGTGGAATCGTTTTATTGCTATAATGAAATAAATCATAGCCGTAGAACAATTTTCCTTGCTCTGAATCATATACTTCGTTTGCTAACACACCGTGCGTCTCTGCATACAGGCCCTATGTCGGAGTTGAATGGAAAAAAGTTGTTAAAGAGATGAAATTTCCTCTATGGCCTCATTTTCGAATTTATCGTGCGGTTCCAAATCGAAAAACAGTAATATTTTTCAATAGTAACAGCTAACAATTCTGAGTACTTACCGTTGCGATGGTAAAATGATTGACAAATGTCTTCGTGGGAAAAACGTTAAACATGAATTGTGCCGAAGTGCCCTCTTTCCGAAATCTATTTAGATGTGGTGTAACTCCACGATTTAAATATTCCGGGCGAAAGGCATCATAGGAAATCACTAAAAGTGCGGGTTCGCTTTTCGATGGTATCGTTCCGCAAATTCTAAGCGAAATATTGAGAAATAAAAATAAAACTGAAGCTATCAATCGAATCATCCTGCATCCAACTGCTGCCTTCGAGTGCTGTCGACAAAATGACTCAAAAATCGGGAAGAAACTGTATCTAAAGCTACTGATATCATAAACCGATTGCCTGCATGCGCCTCATAAATTCACCGTTTTCGTTTCCGTACAGACTTTGGATCGCCTTATGAAATCTTCAAAAGTGGCACGCGATTTGCAACACGCTGAGCATATACAGCTACTTAC